GCCCAGTTTCTAATATGTTTCAGTTGATTTAGAGATGGGTATGATAATTGACCATTGATGAGATTTATGATCAAATCTAATTCATTGGAAGGGGGGGCTGGCTAAAAGATAAAGCAGCCTCACCGCTTCCACATGCAGCAAACCGGGACAACTAAGGACGAACATATATTTGCTCGTCCCGCATATTCTTAAGAACATTACCTCAATTGGAACATTTCTGGTATTGTTACGACTCCGAGCGATCACATAAGAATCTAATGGAAGCCAAAGAGAAATATGCGCATTAGAGTTTACAAAACATCAATTAAGCAATTTGAAATCCTCTAAATCTCTCTTCAATTTACAAATTCTACCAATTGTTTTCAAATGGACTTAAATATATACATGCCAGTCCAATACATTCCGATAAATACCCAAAATATGATTCAATAATACTTGGCCAGACAAGTATTATTGAATGAAACCAACCTCAACCGCAAACCGCAGCTTGAGTATCAAACGTTGATAGATTGCCTTGGTGCTATTTCAGTTCGTGTGCGGATAAACTAGGTATCAAGAATTAATCAAAGAGAAATTATAATAACCAAACATTCATAAACAATCAAGTTTCTCATATATAAATCATATCCAGGTTCCAATGGATTGACTCAAAATAATATCCATAAAAGTGCAGATAACACAGCCAAGAATGTGTATGTGTTTTTTGAACCCATGGCCTCGTAATTTGTTCTCTGACTTTAAAATATTCATTCTAGAAATTCTTCAATATATCCTAATACTACTCATAATAAAATGCTAGAATATTCGGCCTCACTAACAAAACGAATGAAACTAACCTCAACCACCATTTGAGCATCAAACACTGATTGACTGTCTTCGTGTTATTTGAGTTCGTGCGTCGATAAAATAGGTTTCAAGAATTGGATCTCGCACGTACGAAGGTTTTCGCTCAATTAAGAACTTGTAATAGATAATTTTGCACCAAATATGCAACGGGGTAGTGCGCAGGAAGTTTTTTTATATATTTTCGCAGCCGAAGCTTAATGAGGCTTATCGCAACAAATCTGACTGTCATTATTTACAGTTTAATTGGTTGCCGCTACAGGAGCTTTTACGATTAATTTTTCATCTTTACAGGGGGAATTTATTTCTGGGTGATTCACTCCCTCTTTAGGGCAACTCTTTATAGAGGGAGACGTGCACATAGCCATTAGCTTCTTTGAGAATCTGCTAAGCTGATTCTAAGTACTCAGAGAGGTAATATCATTTCTCTCATCTGCATAAATACTTACGTTACTTTTTATCTTAAACTCGAATACTATTTTTTGGTTATTCCACTTCTCATCTGCAAGGTTGACTAAGTGACCGAGACCAGACAATATCTTATACCCCTATTTTTCACTAGTTACAATTCGCCTGAATGAATTCTTAGTGAAAGTGACAGAAATTGGTTAATCTTATCAAACTTCAGAGACTCTCAGTGGTCAACAGTCACAAAACGTATTGTTCGAATTGGAGAAGCGCTTTAATGCCTTTTGTTGAACCCGAAGCTCGTAGAGATGACATATTCCGGCCTAGAGGTTCGATATTTTGTCGTACTTGTCTAAAGTGGAAGAAAACATTCAAATCATCCTGGTCAGCCCGCTAGCACCTTGGGCAAAACAAATAGAAAAAGGATATCAAGTTTGCTATGGTGGAAAGAAAAGGACCCTTCAATCTAAGTTATAATAGGTTCCGAAAGAGCCCGGTTCTTGTCCCAAGATTCAAACGGGGTACTATGGTGGTGTGCGCACGTAAGCCCGGGTGAACTTATATTAAAGACACGCTATATTATAGAGTATGTGCCCTCGAGTACTTGGAAAACCGGCTTGAGATGCAAGTAAGGTAATCATCAACCAAATTATTTACCATCTTTTATTGGGCGATTGTATCATTGGGGTACAATTAGTTCTCAGCTACTGCCACAAACTTAAATGGCCATGACCACCAGAATAATGCAGACTATATATCTCATCTCGCGAGCCTGAGCGTGGACCACCATCAACGTTTTATAGGATTAGTCTGTTCTCGTGCTATCACTGAGGGTTCACTCGGGCAAAATATAACTAGTGAAAAATAGGAGTTGAGGGGGTGTGCTGGTCTCGGCCATTTAGTCGAAGTTTGCCTATAAGAAGTGTTATAACCATAAAATATTTCAAGTTTGAGATGAAAAACTCATTTCGGTATTTATGCAGATACGAGAAATGATGTTAATTAAACAATATGATGATATTACCTCTTTGAAACTCGGAATGAGCTCAGAAGATTCCCTAAGAGGCTAGTAGCTGTGTAAGAAGCCCCCCTCTATATAGAGTTGCCCTGAAGGAGTAGTGATACCAACAAACTTATTTTTCCTTAATAAGATGAAAATCAATTGGAATTTGCTGGAATATTTTTTGGCTAACAATAAGCTGCAAAGCATCTTAATTCAGATATCAGGTCTTGGTGACCTTTGTGGCTGCCAACAATGCCTATTGTCCAATTGCTTTAAATGGACCTGCCCACTGATTATCCGTTAAACGCACTGGGCCCAAACGGAATTCCGTAGACATTTTCGGTTGAATTTCCAGGTTCTGTTGCATTTAAATATCACCTTTCACAATTTACGCATACATTAGGTGAGAATAATGGTGGAGAACGTAATTTTTTTTTGATTTAACATACCTTTGGAGAAAAGAAAGTTACTACATTAGGAAAGACAGGTACTCTACCATAATGGATTTAAAGAAGAGTTGAGGAGCGGATTATTTGGCAGTGAGCAAAATTCTTCGTTCGTGCAAGATCCAATTCTTGATATCCATTTTATCCGCACACGAAATGAAATAAGACCAAGACAATACATCAATGTTTGATGCTCAAATTGTGTTTGAGGTTAGTTTTGTTAGTTTTGTTCCCAGAATATGTCCTAAGTTTTCTTCAGTCGCTGTACATTGTATGCTGTACTAGGAGCTCGTGCATGCACCATTTACCTCAATCTCTTGATCACTCTACGGTTCTTCGGGTGACGATAGAACATCACCACGAAGGAGATCCCCCACATATGGTGATCTTCTAAGGTAATAAGTCTTGTATGGTCATCTTAATGAACAGTCTCGGCGTTTTTTTAGTTCTCTAATCTCGTCTTCTATTTGTAAATATGCCGCCAACTCTCGAAGTCGACCAAAACCAAAACTTGGAAAATATAACGACGCTATCAGTATCCTTGAGGTATTTTGAAGCTAAAATTTGAGAGGGGGGTAGAGATGTAATAACCGAAGAAATTAGAATATTTTTGGGGTTCTGGTGAAGAGATTGTACCTGTTCATATTTCATTATGAAAATGTGAGTGTGATTATTTCAAGCGTCCTCTGAAAATGCCCCTACTGGTTACAAAAGAAATATGTTCCATTGACTCCGCCCACCCCTGTAAAGTTTTTAGTTACGCCTCAATTCATCTCAGTTGTAAGGGGATCTGCGGTATAATCAGAGGAGCGTTGAGGCGGAACAATAGAAGGTGAGAAAATATTTTGTTGTAGACGAAAATAACGATGACAACAAGACGGAGCAAGGAAAAGCACATACGTTGGGAAGCAAATCGTCCAAAACAGTGAGGACAACCAGCAAATCATTTCAATATCAATTGGTACTTTAGTGTCGAAGTCATAAGTTCCGACCCATACTTCATTGTTGCTGTATACTAGTGTATACACTATGGGAAACGTATACTACCTGCAAATACTGAGATAAGAGCGTTCATTATCAGACCACGGTTCTTCAAGCCTAATTACAGATTTTCATGATATTGATTCCCTCTACCAGAGCGATCCAAGTACTGTGCTATACTAGATCCTTTTACAACATTAGATTGCAGAGTTCTCCTCTTGCCACAATAGCAATACCTAACCTCTTATTTTTTGTAATTATTTTGGGGAAGGTGCTAGAGTAGGGATCTGGCTAGATTGAGTCTAAAGCTTTCTTTGCGATTAGACAAGAAGAACAAATATAGCACATTCCAGACCTGTAGCATGGCTACCTCTTTGAGCTTTAGATCCTGCAGCATAAATTTACTGGCTGCAGTGGTTTAAATATCACCAGTGACGGTTAATGCACACTTAAAGTGAGAATAAGGCAAATCCCTCATGTAGTTAGAGAAAGTAGTTACTTTTTTTTGATTTAGTGCACCTTTAGAAAGCAAAATGTCACCACATTGGGAAGGAAAGGTTCTTCGGTGTTAAATCCATGCATTCTGCTTCGACTTTCAGTTCCCCCGCAGCTCAAAAATATTAAACCGATGGTCATTTTTGGCTAGTTACCTGATAAGTAAAAAAGAAAAGACACGATGCAGTAAAACTTGTCTCACTTAGGTAAAAGTCTCTATCTTTCTATAAGTTTACCTTTTTTACCTCATTATTAAGGTTTTATTTTTTGTTGAACTTTTTATTAACCATACCTTTCAAAGTAAAAGACTCCTTCCTTTGGGAGTGCGATCCCCAGAAAAGTCATAATTCGATTAAACTTCCTCTTGTTACTTACGTTTTTTACTGTTTTTACAGGCTCTATTTGTGGTGCTCCCAAAAAAGGGTTGTTGGACCCCTTTTCATTGATTATGATGTTCCCAAACGCAAAATCAAGAGCAGTTGACCCTTTCTTCTCTAGAACTGCCTAATTGAGTGACGTTAATGAGATACTTCAAGTTGTAGTAATTGGCCATAATAACTGAAACGTAGGCATATAAAACAGCTTCAACTTTTGCAATTCGCCGGCAAAGTAAGATGATTTTGATACCAATAGTATTCTTATCTTTTGTCGCTCCGCTTGTTCTTGGAATAACAGGATGTTCACCTCCGTCCACTGAAAGTGGACTTATGGTTGATTACTTTGATCACGTTGATGTGCTCAATGATTCCTCTACTTATTTGAACACAATAGATGCCATGACTCCTGACTATACGGGATATGGAGTGTCAGATATTACTTTTCTGATGAGCGGAATTCTGGTCGGGGATTTCGCAAATGTTTATGGCAGAAATACGCCGGTAGATTATTTTGGTTTGAGACTCACAGGGTATTTACTTGCCACTGAAACGGGTACTTACACCATACAATTTACCAAAGCTGACAATGAAGCATCCTTGTCCTTGGGGGGATATACAGATACCCTTGACTGTTGTTCAAGCTCCAGTAATCTCCCTGTGGAGGGGTCAGTTTATGCTCACTTGCTAGATACTTCTGGAGCAGTTAATACCACCGTGATAACGGTTAGTCTTGTTGCAGGTGAATATTACCCAGTGAAGATTATGTACTACCAAGCAGGACCTGGTGTAGCCAGCTTAGAACTTTCGATAAAGTATCCTGACGGTGACACTCATACAGATGATATATCTTGGTATTACACCAATGAGACGGAACTGGAGTTATGTACAACCACTACCACCACTAATATTTGGACAGGAACAGATACTGAATATTTTACAGTGACAGGTTCGGACGGTGATGTGACTGTTACTAAGG